TATATATATATATATATATATATATTATCGGCATGCCAGTGAACAAATTATTTGCATCTAATTTTATATAGTCAGGTAATTGCTCTTTTTATCACGTGACATTTTACAATTATTAAGATGATCCATCTTAATCCATCGATGATGAATTACAATAATTGGACAACGATGATCAGCGAGAGGATAAACGTCAACACAGCGTTATGTCTTTATTGAGTATTCATTGAGAACTTACCTGGTTACAAAAATTTCTGCATCCCGATGGACATTAGGTAGAAAATTTTTAATAGGCTCATAAATTTTATCGCAACACTCAGCAAGTTAGTGCAGTTGAGCCGAGCGCAGTCTCCGTTACTCACATACGCAAAAATAATTACCGGCCTCATCGTAATTTATACGCGGTGCTATAAAGCATGTACTGCGCGGTATCGTAACAAGACAGGCCGCAGAGAAAAAAAAATATCGGAGAACAGCCGACGAGGCCTACGCGTCGCCTTTCACGCTTAACGTTTCAACCGAAGACTTTCACGTGGTAGACGTAACAATTTCTAATAAATCCACCGGAGCCACGATAATGGCATTCCTGCCGGAATGACGAATTGCACGATCAGCGAGTCGTTCGTCTATACGTATGGACTTGTTGCATCTAGAATGCTATAGCAAAAACAAAATTTTTCCTAAATAATAAATTTTTGCAAAATAGATACGCAGTCACTATCGTAAAAAGAAATAAACATTTTGAGAATATAATTTTAAAAAAATCCGAGGCAGAAAAATATTTCCACAACCGATTCTGCACGCAATCGCATTTAAACGTCTCTCGTGCGAGAGGGATCTGTCGTGCCTCTGTACAGTCGGAACGCGCGTCGAAGCGGCTAGACGATGATCGCGGAATTCATTAGCAACGCGTAGATGGATATCGCGTCCGATTGACGAATGGATCGCCTGCATTAATTATACGCGGTTGCGCACACGGCCGACGAACCGCCGGCCGTTTGTCACACGGTCGATGATGCGTTTAACGATCACTCGCCGATGACGCAACCGACCGGCCGGCCGGGGCCGTTGCAGTCACGTCTTTCCACCTGGGGTATTTGCCCGCGCGAATGCAACGTCATTATCATAATGCAGTAGACCAGTCCGTGGGTTCTTTTTTTCGAACGCGCGCGTCTTATTTTGTTTCCCGCACGGGATTCATCTGCCGATTCGTTCGCATGAACTACCCGCACGTCGTGGTAGATATATCAAATCCTTTTTATTACTCACAATCTTTTATCCACTCGCACGTTTTAATTCAAATCTCTTTCGCGCACGAGAGGCAGCCGTATTTCTATATATATTTAAAAAACACGTTATGTCAACGCTGCACCTCTGAATTTTTCCTTTGCGCTTGATTCGCGATGCTATTTTCGGTTTTCATCATCTTCATCGAGCTGAAGCGTCGGTGTATCCCTTCAATAATAAGGGATATACCGACGCTCTCGAAATAATTTATAGAATTAATCTGCCGCTTAACGCTAGGCCGAACGGCACAACTGCGCGAGCACCGAAGCATTCGCGCTATAAACAATCGCATGGACCGTGGTCATAAATTAATAAACGGACAATAACGCGGCGAAGTAAAGCCTGACTGACGTGCTGACAGCCACGGCCCGATGGTCGGTTTTGTCGTGTCGACGGCCAGGTAATCCTATCGACTCGTCGGCGCACACGTCGCGTCGCATCGCGCGCTGCCGTTGCATCGCGTCGCGCCGCGCCGCGTCGCCGGAATGCGCGCGCTCGATTATCCGCGCCGCGAAACCCTCGACCTCTCGCGCCCGTTTATCCCACGTGTAATCGCACAGTTTTAGTCCTTTGCCATATTTCGGCGCGCTCGCATCCGGCCGCCTGCGATTGCGTCGGGTTCGCGTTCCGGCCGATCGATTCCCGCAGAGGACAAAACAGATTTTTCGATCCCCGCGCGCTCCTCCTCCGCCCATCTCAATCCGCCAGATGGAAGCATGCCGGGAATCGCCGCCGTTGTCCCTCGCACGCGTGTATGACCCTCGTGCAGATGTATTTACACGGCGCCGTATAACGCGGATTCCAAATGCAGCAGATTTGAATTATACGCTTAGCCTGATTATCCGAATGATGCTTCATTATCTTCGTTGCGAAAAGCTGTTTATCATTGATAACACCTAGATATCGAGTGAACGATAATTAAAAAATTATTTCTATCATTATCGTCGCTACTGTTATGCGTTTATTATCATTAACAATCATATGACTCATTAAAAAGATTTCTCTTGTACAAATACTATAAAAATTGTTTAACATTGGGATGCGGATTATTATTCTAAATTGTTGTAGCAAAATTACGTAAATTTTTTATTCTAGTAAAACAATAAATTATTTTATTTATTTATTTAACGCGTTAATTCTTTTAACTGGAAAATGTATATTTTAAAAAAGTATTTTTAACGTATTTCTATGTCAAAATTTTAAACCGTACTTGTTATTATTTCACATCGTCATCCGAATCTTGTTTCTGTAAAAAAAAAATCATTCGCTGCGTCACTGGAGATTTCGTTGAATTTAGATATTTATTGCTTTTCATGCGTGAAAGAAATGCGATTGTTAAAAGCGTAATCCAATATCATAATGCTAAATATGGGTTTTGCGGTTTACATGCATTTTATACGTGAAATTATTTTTGTCAGACAAAAACAACGGACTTTGTTGAAATTTCAATGAGAAACGTGCGCTTATGAATAACGACGGAAACTGCTATTCTCCCGTAAATTCATTCATTATTACAAATGTATCGCGCGTGATTATACTGGAATCACGTTAATGCAGCATACCGGATACGTGCCGTTTCTATGCCCCTTCTCGCCAACTGCGCGCTACGTATTCGACGTCAACCGCAGGGCCATGTCTTCACCCATAAAAAATACTGAACCTAGTTTGCAATTTAGCTAGTTGCCATGTTTCGCGCCACGTTGAAATAAAGTTCCTCGTATATCTCTCTTTTTCATGCATGAAATTATACAACATGCTTTCGCTATGGAGGCAAAAGATACGAGATTTTCATTTCAAACTGCTTCATATTAATTTAAATAGTTTATGAGAAGAAATATGAGAATAATTATAAATCGTTACGGCAGAGAGAGAGAGAGAGAGAGAGAGAGAGAGAGAGCATCTCTTAAATATATTGAAGTAGATACTATCTATATTTATATTACTATATTTATTATAAGAATTTCTCATTTCTCTTTCATTCTTCTGAATTTCTCATTTATCGATCTTCTTGAATTTTAATTTGTAAACCGAGAAGCTTAAAAAAAGAATACGAAAATATCATTAAAAAAAAATGTAAGATGCATAATAAATCTGATAAGACCTCAGGAACATTTCGAGGAAAATATTATATATGTAAGTGAATATAAAGTCCATTTCCTCTGGAGAAACCACGTGCTAGAAGTGAGAAACAACATGAAAAACGCAACGGACGAGAATGCTTGTGCCGGATCCATCGGAAGAATTTGCATATCCGAGTGTTCTCAAGCGGCGCCGAACAGGTCAGCAGCGAATAGGAGCTCGCTACAGTTTTCAATCGCATGCGAAATATCCACGATAGGCTGTCTTGCATATTTTACATCAGCTATACCGCACCATACCCGCACTCTCCCGCGGCTTCATCAGGATTCTCGGCGCGGCCGGCGGAAACGTTTTACCATCCATTTGTGTCGTACGACTCGGAAGTACGGCGTTCCTTCCGACATTCGCTGCCGCCATAGTAATCATGACTCTTAACAGCCCTAAATCGATTGCCACTTGGCACATAGCGACGTTCGCCGTTTCACCTGAGAAAGAAGTAATCGGTTCCTCTCTAAGTCTCCGGAAGCTTAACGGCAAAAGGAGGTCCAATACAGTTGTACGTTCGAATCGCGACAAATCGGCGGCGATCGATTTTGCGTCGCTTAGATCTCTCAAAGTAAATAATACTTATAGTTAGGTTTCAATAAGACGTAATTTAATAACTTTCCGAGGATTTAATCGCGCGCGAGAAGCGAAAATTTCTCTTACATTTTGCTTCTCTCTTCTCTCGACAAGTTCATTGAACTGCCAATAATTTCTTGATCCCTCGCGAAATCGACGTATTACGAATAATAACTATAGAAGCTATACCTGTCGCGATTTCCTGAGCGTGATGCCAATCTTTGAGAGCGACGGATGTTCTTCGTTTGTACTATGTTTGCCGGCGGAATCTATTACGAATCCATTGAGGAGACGGGACCACTCCAAGGCAATCGATTCCGGATGGTGCAGGACCGTATAGGTGGAGACAGAGGAAGAGGCTACCGCGCCGCGTCGCGCCGGGAGAGTGGCCCGACCGGAATTGCGGCGCGGTTTACCCGCTGAGAGATGTTAGCTTTTCGTCAAAGGGTCCTATTAGTATGCGGTTAGTATTACGGCGCGTTGTATCAGGATACATTGAGGCAAGATACGACGCGCTATTACCGATTCTCTAGCACGTGAACTACCGACCTCCTCCCTCTCTCTCTCTCTCATCCCGCGGGCCATCCTGCCGCCCGCCGCCTCCCCCGCGTCCGTTCACCGAGTGTTACGTGTGTGTTTGTTACCCTCCGCGACACTTCTCGACTTCCTAACGCTGGATCGCTTTGTGCGGGACGTTCGATGTAGAAACAGGAACGTTTGGATCGAGCCAATAAGACGATTAGTGCGCGCTCGACCTTCAACACCGAAACGCCGGAAATCGCCGGGCGCGCACATTCCAGCGTGATCTACCGTAAGAGATCGACTGCGTCTACCGGCTCGGGGAGAGATACTTGGGATACTTCAGCGAATACCGCCATTTACGGCGACACGATGCTCCACGTGTCCCGAGACGTGCATTGGAATTCACGCATACTCTTCCGTACGGTTAAATGGAACAGGATCGCCAATGTCATTACGTCGGTTATATTTCAATTACTCATTTGTATGCGCATTTAGAGCTCAGGAAAAAGAAAGGTAACTCTGAATTCTTCCATTTACGATAGAAGCAAAAAGAAAATAGTGCTGCCTTTCCTATTATATTTATCTAAAATTGTCTCTTTCTATTTGCAATAAAATATAGTCTGGCTGACAATCTTGCAAATCAATTAATATCGTTAACCCGGAAATTAGTTAGTATAGGTATTATTTCAATTTAATACGTATTAGAGCGGCACAATTCGATCGGCTTCTCGTTCGAATTTAACGCAATCATTTGCGCAAATTGTCTCTTTGCTAAAACGCATCCTATTATTTTTTCCCCTCTATCCTTTTTCAGAATTTATCTCTTCGTATTTTCACGTGACTTAAAAACGTGACATATACACGTTTACGTTCCAGAAGCGGAAAGGAAGAGATTCCTTTCGCGTATGCGCGAGTAAACTGTCCAACGATCGTAATTATTATTAAATTAAATGTATACCGTCGTGTAATGTAAATTGCTTCGGTATCTTGTCTCATTCGTGATAGTCGTGCATAGACGTGCATGAGAGGTGAAAAAAGACTACGCGATTATTCGGTGGGCAACATACGATCACGTAAACCGCACATATCGCACGGGAACCTACATTAATGACATGACAATTCCGCAATTTCGCTACACAGAATTGTGCGTTTGTTAAACCGCACGTATAATACTACCTTTGACATGTAATATTACCTTTAGGTACCTATATCAGTACCTAATTTGATGCCCATAGGGAGATCACCTCTGACTGCATGGACCAGGATGACTTTTGTTTTCCATTATCATAATGAAGTATTATTTGAGAAATGTAAATGTGCGTCGAATCTTTTCGCCTTCGGTATAAATTGAACTTGTAAACTTTAAGTGATGTAATTCGCATTATTAGCCAAAGTAAAAAAAAAGAGGTTACTTTGAATCACAGAATATTTGACAATTTACGCAAAATCTTGCCAAACAAATTTTCTTAATTTGTCCGAAATCGATTATTTTCCTCGCAGAAGACAGGAGGAGGACGTTCCGCGAGCAATTTGCACCACGCTATTTTACGCATTACGCAAATGACTGTGTTCGAGCGAGAAGCCGAACACGCGCGGCTGTAATGCGTATTAAATCGAAATAATACGAATAACTAACTAAATCGAAATTAACTCCCCCTAAACACTGCAGGTAAATTCATTATCGGCGTTTAATGGTATCGAAATGCCCGCCAACCGATCCATTTCGCGTATCAAAGGAAGTATTAAATCCCGACGACCAATCACTCTATTACGCTTAACATCGTCATGCCCCTCTGTCATGCCGATGCGACCGGTGTCGCGTATTGACCGTTGTTTGCTCGGTAAACCGCGGCGACACCGCGGTGCGCGACGATACGTCGGCCGCGGGCGAAAACGAATGGGAAACGGAGCGGAAAAGCGCGTAGACGCCGGGCGGTTTGCCAAGCCGGCGCCGTTCCTTTAATTGTTAGCATATTTTAACCGTAATTTTCCTCTGTTCCAGTTGTCTGAGCCCGAGATCTGCGTTCTTCTACGAGTTCCCTCCTAACGGTAAGTCGTAGCGCCTAGACTTCGCAGCTTCATTTGTCTCTGCTTAAGATTTAAGAGGCGCAAAAGAGAAAACTCGAGTCCGCTCTTCGTCGTCTCCGTCGCCTCCGTCCTTTCATTTGCGAAGCGAAAACTGGAGCGCGCTCCGCCACGGAGTTTACAAGTGCCGTTGTTCCCCCGCGAGCGCGACCGGTGTACCCGGCCATTTGGGTACTAATGCGCGGTTATTAATGCAACGTTGTATTTTTATTCGGCGATTAATTCAGATATGAAGTGACATTAGACACGCTTTATATCGCCCTCAACACGAAACAGGGTCGTTTCGAGACAGATAACTCTATCGATCGTCAATTACCCTACTAACCGTAATTTACCTATGCGCTTTAATTGCTGAATAGTGAAGCAAGATGCTGAATAGTAAAGTGCAATTAAGGACACGTATACAATGATTTAGCTATTTCAAGTATCGTTATTCTATTGCTATTATCATTAGGGTCAAAAAAACATTGCTTTTTCCATTAAATTGTTTTTACATGTCACATAATGTTATTAAGAACTTGTGCTTTGCACAAAAACATCTCATTAGCTTCGTGCCTGATTTAATCACCGGCATTAAAGTTATGTCCACAGTGTATCGGCAAAATTATCCCGTACATTACTTCCACGGTTTCGACTTTCCATGACGGCGCAACATAAATCACGGCTAATAGAGGACCTTTTTGAACACGGAATCCTCAATTACGTTCTTTCTCTTGATTTATTCGACATACATCGCGGTGTAGAAATCATTTTACGGGAACGCGGTAGCTCCGTAATGGATTGAGAAAACTACACTGAGGTATATACGGGAAGGGGCTTTTACGAAAGGAGCCGGGCTACATTCAGATTTGAATGCTTGGGGAGCTTATTTAATGCATCGATTGCATGCTTTGCACGATTCCCGCGGCGAGTGCATGCATACCGGGGCACGGACGCGATTTCCAAAGGGCCAAGGCATCGTTCCTTCGTGCACGTCTCTACCAATGAAACATATCTAAATGGTCTAACAATGGCGCAATTGCGAACGGACATCGCCCGGCTTCCGCAGCGTTGCGATGTGCAGCGATCGCTGCGTCGTTATGCAGGAATGCAACGATAGATAGAATCTCGCGACACGCGCGCCTTTTGCTTGACAATCGGTGGCCGATCACCGCCGTTCTTTTTTTTTCCACACAGCTGGTGTCCTGTTCATCGGATAATACTGTTGTCTCGCGGCTCATTTGTTACACAAAACGCGGATACCTATCGATCGACGAACTACGTACCTGTTCGTAGTTCCACATTGCATTCAAACCGGGAGAAATCCGTCGATGGCTTAACTTGCGGTTGCCCATAGCTTCTTAAGCTTCTTGGCATCGTCAAGAATGATAATATTGTTATTCGCGAATATTTATAGCAATGAAAACTTAAGAGATTATTCCCCCGTGCAAATTTGATATTTGCACAAAGTAATAGGAATATTCTATTTGCTCTTGAATGCAACGTAAAGATAAGAATAATACAAAGAATCGCGTTAGTTGTATTATACGAGCAATAATTTCGTTAAGATTCTAATGCGATTTCGCATCGCCTTCTGAATTTTTCGTTGATTTAAATTGTAATTCGCTCAATACTTTTAAATCCAGGGCGCGGAATAATACGCGAATCGTCGGATCAAGTAATTAACGTAATGGAAAAACCGTGATACATCGGTTATTTATTAATAATACATAGATTTTTACGTTTGAAATATATTGCATCCGCAATATTAGATTTCAGTTTTACGTTTTTGGATGGTCATTCATTAATTTGATTTAATTAATCGCACCGTATCGTTTTAAAACGCCAAATTACTTTCGAATTTTTCATTTATAAAACGATTTTTGAATGCCGCCACGACACGTTTAATTAACAGGTACAGCCATAAGCCCGCATTTGAATATTTGTCAACTGTGTAGTTAAATATTACGTATATATGTATGTAAATTCAATGTTTTCGAATCATAGAGTTTCGTGCTTTTTTCACATTAGTCTTCGTAATCCACAATGGTAAAACGCGCGTCGCGTGTAATTAACGTTGGGAGCACCGTGCAGTGCGATTATCCTATTCTCGTGATTAGCACGCGCGATAATTAACTGTGTTTTCGCGAGTGTTATGAGTGCGACGAACGAATCTGATTGCGAGGGAAGGAAAGAGGCCTGGGAGGCATCGGGCGATGGCAGAGCAACCATGAAATGAGCAACTATAACATTTCACGCACAGAGATCTATTATACATATACAATTCGCGACAGTAATCGTATTACTTGTCACATTCAGTTGAATATAATTTCAATTGATCTTCAATCGAAATACGAGTTATGTCGGATTATTTCAAGATAAAGCTTCATCCTGAATATATCGCGGCTGGATACGAAATTCATGATAACGATTATAAATATGAGTTCGCGTGCATTTCAATATAGCATTTCCGCATCTACTTGCGCGGCTGCATCTGCTGTACAATAAGGTATTTTCGAATGAATATTTACTGCCACCTGATATCATTCATATATCGTATCGCATGTAAGAAGCGTTCGGAGTTACGATTGTATTTTTCCTCCGAGACGCGGGCGTTCGGGTCCACCGCCGATTTTCGCCGGTGAGATACGCGCTCGAGAAGGTAGTTATATTACTGGCGCACATGCAATCGGCCCTGCGCGCCCGGGAGAGAAGAAATAAAACCAAGACGAGAAACGCGCGCCGTGGCGCGGCGGAATTTTTCGAGATATCGAAAAACACTTTAGATCCCGTATTGGAAAGGCGGGCTGGAAGAGGACGCGGTAGGGCCGAAGGGGGACCCAGCGTTGATATTTCATTTCTATTGACTTCTACCGCCGCCCCCTCGTGCGCGTTATACCTTTTCCAGCTATGAATACATAATTGAGATGGAATTCTCTTTCTCTCTCTCTCCCTCCTCCGCTCATCTTCCCCTTGCCATATTTTCTAATAACATACTTATCTTTATCACTGACTCATTTTCCACTTTTGTCTCTCTCTTCTTTCCATTAAAAACATTTGAATTTTTAATTATTTATCTAAATAGATATGATCAACACATCTGGATAAATTCGCTTTAATTTTTTATCTTGCTTCTACAATATAAATTTTAATTTTTTGTTTTGAAGTGTAATCTTAATTTTACATAAACGTTGATCTAATTATATTTCTTCGCAATTTATTCGACAGAGCATATAGATGTTGTTAATTCGATTTAATTGATCGGAGAAAAAACATATATATTTTTCGTAATAATTTATTGAAATAAAAACGTATTTTCTTCGCGTATATTTCTCACATATTATATAATGCATTATTTGCCGACAATATTTGCCAAACAATATCGTTGCCACTGTGGAATGTTTTAAGCCATAAAAATGTTTTGCATTCATACGGAATCAAATATACGGAAGACGAAACATCGTAGCGTAACAAGTGCCACTATGATTCCCGTAACTCTCGCTTAAATTCCAAAATTCCTCGAGTCGACGTGCCCGATGTTGAACGGCGAGTCGCTGACACCCCTCCGTCTTCTGGCGTTCCTGACCAGCGACGAGCTTCTCAGGCGCCCTCGTGAAATTCTCCTGCCCCTCACGGCGCGCCGCACGGTACGGCAGAGAGATACTACGTTGAATCGTGGGGACTAATCAGTTTAGGGCGGAAACGCGCGAAGCGGCGCACGCTTAACAGTAATTCCGTGTAAGAGACGTCGATGCCAGGATTGCTGCAGCACTTAGCAGTTGTCGCGTAGTACACAACGGCGAGAGACCGACCGACCCGGAGCAGAGAGCCAGAACCGAGCCCGAAACCCCGGAGTCGGGGGGTTGCCGGGATACGCAAATACCCTCGCGCGGGTTGTGCTTGCTTGGCGAAACGCGCGGACTGTGAGAGAGCAAGCCTGTTTGTCTGGACTGGAATCCAAGTAAGAGGTGGGCGGCCAAGCAGAGGCGCGACGAGACAGGGGAAGAGAGAGAGAGAGAGAGAGAGAGAGAGAAGTTGGAGAAGTGCACTTATCCTTGCATAGCATGTGTAACTGCATCCTGCTCTTCTCGGATAGTAATGCGCGCACGCTATCCTAGTGCCGATATCCATACCGGGATGAATGGTAATGAATGTATCGTACGTCGAGATATCACGCGCGTATCTTCGCTTGTCGAACGGCCAATGAACGATATATACCGAAGAACTTCTCTTCGTTACACATAATCGAAGACAGAGAAACGTTTTGATAAAAAAAGAATGCTAATTACTGGTACATTACGGCTGGAAATTATATAAGTTGTTACATCTCAGAAAGGGTTTTTCCACTAAATTAATAATCGATAAACAAGTAATTAATAGTCGCTTCATGATAATGGAGTTTCTCGCGATTTGTGCGTAGTTACTTTTTGCGCGTCAGAAAAGGAAAACGAAATCACTGCGCACTTGCCACATACATCGGTCTCTAGAACAATATTTGCGGATTATTGTAGCGAGAACATTGAATATTCTTCGGTGACGAACCGCATCACTCGGAGTGGAATCCAGCTAGAATGACGCGTTTATCCTTCGTGCAAGTGCATTTCGCCAACGTCACGTTCCGCTTACTGTGACGGAGCCGATGATAGCCGAGGATGCCGTTGTCCTCCTCACGTCTCTCCAAGCCGCTGTGAAATTCCGTTTGCGAGTACCGACTGTTCAAATAAAAAGGAACGATGCATGTATTCTTGCGAAACACCACTTTTTTTGCAGATACTGCAGTAACTAGTACTAGCATTTTATCAAGGTGGCTGCCTTAGAATCCCCCGAAGTGGCATTAAATGGCGTGGAAAATTGCTACCAATATCGACAAAGATTTTATATCGCCCAGCGTCATATTGGCGATGCTATATATACAAAAAAAGTAAATTTCAATCGAAAAGACGTTGTAAAGACATGCATTATACGGTGCGTGAATTGATAGTCGT